GAGTCTCCAACTCGCTATTCAATCCCTGCCAGAGGTCTGCCCTGCCTGAGGGCCGAGGATGTCTGAGAGGATGCCTGTGGTCTCTCTGTTCTTCTTGTTGTCTCTTAGAGCTCTTCAAATTGCCTCTTCTGTTAATGCTTCCCCCCCCTTTAAAACAAATACATGGCTGTATATTGACTTTCTCTTACCTCTTCCTTTTTAAAACAGTACTTAACCAGGCGCATCCCTCAGAATCCCAGATACCAACATATAAAAACCCGCCTCGATACCGGTAAGTGAAATCGTTGTAGGATAAAACCACTACATGTGGATGTAGGGGAGTATCCAAAACCAGGCCGAATGTCTTAACTGCTTCTGGCCTGAGCTGCTTTACCCTGGGTCCTGCATGGCTGTGTCAGAATTTGCATCGTGTTTATGATCTGTCTCACCTTACGATGTCAGGCTCTTTCGTGGCAGTTCCTGGAGAAATTACTAGTCTTGGCCTCTCTGTATGTGGGCCTTTCTTGTGTAAACTAATATCTCGATAAGGCTGTAAGTCAAGATAATTATTTGGGGGGATTCTTTGGGGATTTGACTGAGGGTAGACCTTATCACCCTCTACAACTGCCTGAAAGGAGGGGGGAGCCAGGTGGGTGGTGATCTCTTCTCCCACCTAACAAGTGATAGGATGAGAGGAAATGGCCTCAAGTTGTGGCAGGGGAGGTTTAGTTTGGACATTAGGAAAAATTTCTTCCCTGAAAGGGCTGTCAGACACTGGAATGGGCTGCCCAGGGAAGGGGTCGAGTCCCCACCCCTGGGGGGATTTAAAAGCCAGGCAGATGAGGTGCTTAGGGCCAGGGTTTAGTGGTGGGATGGCAGGGTTAGGGGAACGGTTGGGCTTGGTGATCTTAAAGGTCTTTTCCAACATAAATGATTCTGTGATTCTAAAGCTGTTGAATTTTTACCTGGTAACACCTGCCTATAGTAACCAGACAAAAACGTTGGGGAAGGCACAGCGTGGCCAAAGTTGTGCCTGAAGCAGTGTGTCGGCAACAGGATTTGAATACCAGGGTCTCAATTTCAGCTCCCTTAGAGAGGGCTGTAAAGTACTGAGTTTTCGGTAGCGGCTTTCTGAAGGCGATGGCTTTGTTCTCCAAAGCATCATCAAAACAACTCACTGCTCTGAGCAGAGGGGGCTCGGCGTGGAACATGTAAATGGGAAGGGTGCTATGAGGCTGGTTTTTTCGGAATATCGCCCTTCTGACTAGCAGGGCATGGATACTTCTGTACCCCTTGCTGATAATCGGGTAAAATAAAACTTGGGTGCATTCTGTAGAAGAACTGAAACAGCACTGTGGGTATATGTAGAAGATTTGAGCTCATGAACACTTGCAGTGACTTCCCCCCTCTGGTACGGAGGCTTTAAGCTGTGGAGCACTTTACATTCCCAGAGGCAGCCAGGGTCCAGCAAGTCTTATTTAACTTGGCCTTCCTTGTGAGAGAAAAGCGCTAAGAGGAAAATTGTGGTATTTTTTGGTTTATGGCTCCCTCGTATTGTCAAGGAAGAAACCGTCCTGGTTTTGGCTGGGATAGAGTTAATGTTCTTCCTGGTAGCTAGCATAGTGCTGTGCTTTGGATTTAGTACCAGAAGAATGTTGATAACACACTGATGTTTTCAGCTGTTGCCAAGTAGTGCTCAGACTACTCAAGGACTTTTTGAGCTTCTCCTGCTCGCCCAGGTGCATAACAAGC